ATTGTAGGTTTAAGCCTACATACACTCATACAAATACATTACGCTACACCTATGAATCTCTATGCCACTGATAGCCACTGCAGATTTAAAAGACATACTATTATATTGATTGTTTTATTGGTTTCAGCTTTCATGAATTAGCTATTTACGATCTACCAGCCGCCATTGATCTCGTAATTTCTGTGACTGGGCATTCTAAAGTTGACGTTGGGGGTGTTTCTCTCGGAGCAACAATACCTCTAATGACATTATCTGAAAAACCAGAGTACAATAAAAAAGTCAGAAATTTAATTCTGATGGCGCCAGCTAGTAGAATGGGGTCCGGATACCGGGGTGCGCAATACTACTTTATTAGATCAGCTTTCCGGAAATTCTTAGTAATTATTTGATCAACATTATTATTTATTTTTATTTTATCTATAATTATTGTTATTTTCTTAATAAGCGAGTTATTCGGCCAAAAAATACATTCGRCATATTATGGTAAGATTGCAAATTGCAATCATTTCATAATCTCAACTACCTATATTAAGTCCAATTGCATGAAACACTTAAATCTTCTTTAATGAGAGAATTATTTTAATGGATTTTATCATTTCTCTTTTCTCAAAATGTAATTATCGATCTAAATATACTAAAAAAAACATTGAAAACAACACAAAATATAAATATAAATATCATACTATTTGTATTTTGTACCTACTGTTATAGATAGGCTAAACTGCAAAGGTATTGTAACTTTTTCTTTAAACAACTCCTTCGTCTCTTTACGGTAGCTCTATAATTGAAAARGACTCAGAAAGAAAATGTTTAATGTTTGATTTTTTTATAATAATATGTTGATTATTTAGGGTAGGTATTAAAAATAGGTATACCAATTTTCATACATAKAAAACTGAGATTAAATGTCATATTTTTAGACTAAAATAGTAAAACCACATATTATTAATCGTCATCATAATTACTTTTTCCTTTTTTATGCCACTGTTTCCTTGAAAATACTCTCGACGGACGGTTTGAATATCTATATTCTATATTAATAGACTAGGGCAGATAGTGCCTGTATATGAATAAATGCATTGTACCTACACCATACTATGAATGTTGTGTTTTTTAGAAAACAGATTTCAAGTTTCGTTACATATCACTTAATAAAGATCCAGATCACATTGCAGTTGGAGAATTATGTAAAATTAAAATGTTTGGATTCTTTTGTGTTCAATCAATGAACATTATACAAGGAATGTATAATCCCCTTCATATAGTACGTATTATATGAGAAAAATGTATCTACACATTTTTACGAATTTCAATGTTCGTTTTTTTCCAGTAATATATAACGAATAACCAACCTAAAATAAATGTTTATCTTTGTTTAGGATCCCGTCATAGATGTATTTACAACTTATCCGCAACCTACATCATTGAAAACGGTTAAACACTATTTTCAATTATTATTAGGAGGTAAATAGTGATCAAACAAACTTATTTTTTGATATAACTCTTCATTTTTTATGCATAAAATACTATAATTTACAATTAGTTAATACCGAAAATATATTTTATTATTATTTCCATAGATCGATTTGCCAATTATGATTACGGACCAATTGGAAACATGGAACATTACCATTCCAGACAACCACCAGAGTATGACATAAAAAAAGTTACAGCTCCAGCTATCGTTTTGTACTCGAAAGGCGACAACCTTGTGCCTCCTCAGGTACTGTAAATATTTTGATCAACAGTTACGAATAAAGGTCTCTTATAGGGGAATAATTAAATCCAAGTATTAAAGAAGATTAATAATTATATCGTTGAAAATAAAAAAATGCTCAATAACTGGATAATWTAAATATATTATTGCCACTACACGATTGACTTTATAATGCGTGTGGATAAATGTTTAACTTATAATATGTATATCTGTTTTATTTCAGGACATTAAATGGTTRCTGAACAATTTACCAAATATAAAAAGCACACTTTACATCAGTAAAATACGATTCAGTCATCAGTCTTTTGCAATGGATAAAAACGCACATATAGTTATTGGTCCATACATAGTGAAACAATTATCATCATAAAAAAATATTTAAAAAAGGAAGTATAACAAATTCGACGATGAACATAACCCTCACATGTGAAGATGTATTTAACCATGTTTGTATAAGATATAGTTAATATTAACTAATATGGATGTAATTATTAAAAATTATAAGTTAGCAGCAACATTTTAATGTCATGTGTTGTAAGAAAAAATTCAAATGTTACTTTTGGAAATGTTTTAGTTTTACTTGTTTTCAATAAATTAATTCATCAAAATTTGTTTTTATTTGTATGCATAAATTATTAAAATAAAACATTGAGAATTGAATAAACATATTATATGCTAACATTGAAAAATATTTGATTTGTTTAATGATTCAGATTATAATTTAATCATTATAATCTTATACGTCGTAGTAATTGAAACATTGTGAATTACCTAWAATCAAATATCAATTTAATTATTAAAAGATTAACTATATTTACCGTAGTTTAAAATGTAGGTATACCTATGTATTTGTATGTAAATTACATCCATTTCTTTAAATAAGACATACATACTTATTTTACTTAATTTTACTTAAATAATGAATATTGCTTAATAATAGGAATAATACTTCACTTCTTCATCTTCTACTATAGTGTCATAATTGTATTATTATAAATATCAGATTATTTAAGAAATAATATATTAATTATAATAATATTATATGTTACTTTTTCTCATCATCTAAGTAGTAGGTATCCATATAAATATAATACATTATATAAGACCATCTACCAAAGCACTTTGATTTTACTTGTCAGTAGTCATAAAATATTAGTGATGTTTAATGATTTTGTGTACCTATGATGATAGGTATATTATTTTATCATCTTAGTCGTGTCATTGATATATCATATTTGAATCTTTCACACTTTCAAAAGAAGTTTAAAAACTATAGTTAAATGTATTGCGTATTAGACTTTAGATACGGCCGATACGGGCAGTGTGTGTTGCATGTATATTGTATAGGWACCTAGTGACTACCAACTATATGTCTACTTATATAMCAATTTAAAGAGTGTATTCCAAAATGTAAAATCAAAAATAAATCTTTTTAATTTGATTTAAAATTACTAAAAATAATTTATAATATTTTAAACTCAACTTAATATTACTTAATATTCCAAAACATTAAAAAGAAAATTACTCATTACTCATTACTATTTTTATTGCGATCTTGCAAAATGTTAATTTATAAATGCCTATTTAACTCATGTATAGTTTTGAAAACATAGATGAATCAAGATAAGATACTTACCAAAAGAAAATTAAAAACAAACATTGCACAATTTCCCAAATTTTGATAAAAAATCTAACTTTAGAGCATTTGGTGTAATACCATTAAATTTTAGCAGACGCAAAATTTTTATCGGTCCAATAATTGTTATGACAAATTAAGTCATATTTAAAGCTGATAATTTTGCTCACTTGTACTATAGGTATCTTTTCATATTTGATAACAATATAACATAAACAATTACTATCAAAATATGTATATTTTAAACACTGTATCTGTACCATAATACATTATACATACAAAAATATAATATTTAGCGATATGAAATGAATTATAGTTATAACAAAACTTTTAAATAAGTTTGTAAAATATTTGACAAATCAATGAAACATATTATTGTATTTTAGTAGGTATAAAGTTCAGCGTCCGTAGGTACAAAAGTATATCTTTGTACCTGCTACATAATACCAGAAAGTGCAAGTGCACCCTCGTGCACTCCCGAAATTATACCACTGTTTAAGAGGTGGATTACCTATTTCAATATTCTAAACTCTATTATAATTATACATGAAAAATCATGCAGGTAGCTATTAAATTTCCAAGCTTTTTGACTTAAATGACTTGTGTTATTCCTTTAATCCAAAAAATGAGGTGAGAACCTTGAAAAGTATGTTTTCCTAATCCTAATTTTATGAGATTCTCAACGGTGTATTCAAATTTGTTGTAGGATCAACGGTTCAGCAGATATGAACATTATTATGAATGAAACTTTAGTTCAATCAAAAAAAACACAAAATTTTAAATATCTCMCTTATTATTGARAACTCGATAATGGTAATAAGGACTTTTTTTGTTGCATCTGAGGTGTAGCGTGTAGAAGTACCTCTTGAAATTTGACACATTTATCATGCAACACCCTGTATTCATATTACTTAAAGAATTATGTATGTCTAGTCTATATACTTCAGATATACTTACTGATATATGTATTTTTTTATTATTATTTAAGCTTAATATCTATCTAAAACATTGTATAAGAATAAGTATAATAAATTAACAACCTAAAAGAATAAACTCTTATGTTTGACAATAATCAATAATGATTTTCGATATTCCCCCTGGCATTTAAATAGTATGATAATAATTATTTCATAATATTTTTACTTAAATTAATATATTAATAATAAATGGATATATCCATCTAATCGAATCAACAAATGAAATAAATTATTAAATTAAGAACCTATTAGGTAGGTACCTTGAGTTATTATTGATATGACAGCGTATAAAATCAAATAATTAAAATGTGTTAATAAATGGGTRTTACTATAGGGTAATTTACTACTTTATATTTTAATAATGATAAAAAATTAATATTACTGCATGATGTTTATAATATTATACACCTTTAAAAATGTACAATACTTCAGTGTAACTTAATCTCTCGTGGACTTCAACTTTTAATACTTTAAATTTGTATTTTGTCTGTACAATAATAAATAAGCAAAATATTTATCAAAACTACCTATAGAACGAATGATAGAATCTATACTATTAGATTTTTATTTGTATTTATTAGATATAAAATGTGTATATATAAAATACCTTACATGTTAGGTTGTACTGTATTTTTAATATGCTCACAGCTACATACAGTTTCTACTTTTTCAACTGTAAGTATATGATATACTATTGCWCTATGTATACCTATTTATAAATAATCTCTAACATTACCTATACATTTAAAACCAAAAATCAATTTTTTTAGTGTCTTCTACATATTATTGACCTAATTCTATACCAGTTACTTAGTAATAATATTGTACTTCACGTCTTCCACAGTCTACAATATATATACCTACTTTAATATAACTTTGTATATTACTGTAATTGTCGAGCTATAATGGTTTTATACCGGAAGCTAATAAAAAAAAAATTACTTTGTATATTATATATATTTTTAATTCTTATAATTTAGATTAAAATTTGATTAAGAAAATATATCAATGCAATATTTTAAAATTGATTTATACATTTAACATAGGTAMATTTTTATAATGTTACATTTTATTTGAATAAACTAATATTTAAATTATTCTATTTTATTTTCATTTCATTTAAGGCTGATCAAATTATTGGTAATGGATATCCAGTAGAAATTTATGAAATTGAAACAGAAGACCATTACATGGTGGGTTTGGAACGAATACCATATAGTAAAAATGGGAATAAAACAATCGGTAAACCTATTATTCTCTTACATGGCTTGTACGGGACATCAATGTTTTATACGCTATCCAATAAATCACTCAGTAAGTAAATGTGTTATATATAAATTTTAAAACATTTATTAAATAATGTATAAAAGTATATTGTATTGTACATAGCGGGTTGTATATAAATACTTATTGAAACGGACATAATATTGAATAATGAATAGGATTTTTTTTGACATTTGAATTTTGCTTACTGCCTTTATCAATGCATCAAATGTACTGGGCATTTTTAGAGGAAGCCCGAAATAGTTACTTAGTAAATGCTTGAAAACAATTACACAAATAACTCGTTACTTTTCATCCAACCTTCCTATCATAAAATAGTAACATTAATAAACATTTGAATTTCCAGCAAATGTTATCAATTTAATATCATGCAATACTGAATAATTAATAATACTTAAAATTATACTTGAATTTAAATATATAGCCACATAAGTTACTTAAAATAAAATATTTATTTATAGGTAAGTAATTAAAAATGAAAATAAAATAAAAATTGATAAAATTAATTTAGTTTGTATTTTCGTAATCTTGATGATGGATTTTCAAGTATCAGTGATTGAAGCATTAAGCTTTATATACAAAACAAAAACTCCAATAATGCACGGTGCACAAACGATTATTTTATTCGATTCACTACAGGAGTAGATTTTGAAATTTTATCACATATATTATGTTACCAGTAGACGTAAAACGTTTGAATCCTAAGCCTAAACGAAAAGGTTTATAAAAAATTATACCAGTACCAATACAACACTAACATAATTCTACTGACCCAGCAACGTCAGTTTAGCATTAAAATAACATTATAGGTAAACTGAAGCTATGTGCACCGCAGTTCCCGAGTCAATATCTGAAGGTGCACATTGAAGCAGTGGCGTTGCCAAAACCCTTAGCCGTTTTCCACCTCTCCCCCTAAATTTTAAGAAAATTAAAAATTATTTCTATAAATTATAATCTATGAAAGTCACTAAAATTACAAATTTGTACTGCAGTACAGGAACTTTAACCTAAAATTAGATCTCAATATCAGCTAGTATGCTAAATTTATGGATTATCCTAGTTACCAATTATAAGCCATTTCTGTGTAAAACTGTGAACACATAGTCATCCCCTCCTCCGTTAAAAAAAAAACAGAGAAAAAATTCTGAAAACATCACTATTATAAAGCTATCAAATGGTTCTCCTGTAAAATATCACGAATTCACGACATGTTCTAAAATGCATAATTATTTAAATAGTTAAAATAGTTTGCGTAAATATATCTAAATATCTATTCTCTTATAGGTCATGTGACTCGATTCATATTAATATAATAATAATAATAATAATATATATATATAGGTATATATAATCAAGGGCGTCATTTGGGGGGTGGCAGGGTGTGCGGTTGCACCCCTTACTTTTAGAATGTTACAATTGGCCTGCGCCTTGCTGAAGCCTAAAATAATGCACGAGCCACGAATGCACAATTATTTATATGATTAAAATCAAATTGTAATAACCGGTCTAAATGGAAATAATTGAATGCAGGATAATATACATATACGTATRTAYATCTATTTTTATATGGCCTSGTGAAATTTCAAAATGGCCTGCTTGA